CACAGTCGCGGCATGGCACATCGCAATTCAGCACGGCGCAGCACAGCAGTGCCCTCGGCACGGTACATCAAAATCGATACATTCAGCATTGCATTTGCCCGTCGCCCAATCAGGTGTTTTTGAAGCGTGGCCATGCCTTACGTTTCTATATTCCTTTCCGGGTTCGTGGGTCGATCATGTTGTGGGTCGATTCCATTTGGAGAGGGAAATGGTCTGAGGCCCGGGAGCAGCGGCGACCACATTGCCGCCAGACAGGCGCGCACGCTCAGACGACGGACGGCGACGAGGCAAAAGCGGGGCGACGGCGAGCACATAGCGGCCGGGCCTGCGCCCAGGCCCAGACGAAGGGCGACGGCGGGGCGGCGACGAGGCGGCGCGGCGACCACATAGCCGCCAGACCGACGCCCAAACCCATATATGCAAGCATGGTTCGGGAAAAATTGGCACTCATCGAGACGGTAAAACTAAGGTAAAACTCGATGAAGTGATGAACGTTATCGTTGCACCGTGATCTTTCAGTAGGAAAACGCGGGAGTAAATACGTAGAGGAGCTTGCGATTGCCCCCGATGCACGGACAACCCGTGGAAACACGGAACAGGAAACAATTATAAACGCAGCCAGGGGCAAATTCCATTACTTGTGAAGGATGGGCGCAACGTGGGCGGCGTCACCGCCGTTGCCGCTTGGACCCCAGAATCTGCGCAGTCAGTTTCAGTGTTAATGCCCCTCCGGAGTTGGGAATGTCGCGGGCGGCGATGCAGCCTGCATACCCCAGCGGTCATGAGCAATGGTAGCGTCCTCGGAATCGGCATCACCCCGTGGCCGGAAGCGACACGGGCCGCGATGTATCCGATATCCTCTCGTGGGGGGTCAGTGCAAATTTTGTTCATGAGGCTGCGACTGGCGAAACCGGCAGGTGCGGTGGCGCATGAGGTCGGCGAGAATTGTCATAGCAAACAGGATTCATATCCGTAAGGATTTCTCCACCATGCCGCCGGCCCCCCTCTCTTAGAATGGGACTTGCCAGAGCTGTGTGGACGCTGACGTGAAGCAATGTCGGGACTTTACGCGAGTGCCAATACTAATGTACGAGGGTATATGGCTTCGTTGGCGCGAATAATATGTGATTTCCTATGGTTTATTGTTTCGGGGACGCGAATATGGTATAATGTACAAAAGGTTTGTGGCCTCGGGGACGCAGAGATTGTGTAATGTTTGTGGGTTTATGACCTCGGGGGCGCAACTATGGCATAGTTCACGCAGGTGTAAGGCCTCGGGGACGCGACTATGGTACAAATTGCAAGGGTTGATGGCCTCGGGGACGCAAGTATGGTGTAATTTTCTCAGGTTTATGGCCCTGGTGACGCGAATGTTGCATAATTCTCTAAGGTTTATGTTTTCGATGGCGCGAATATTCTGTATTTTACAATTGTTTATGGTTTCGGTGGCGCGACATATTTTGTAATTTCCGATGGTTTGTGGCTTCGGGGACGCGAATATTGTATAGTTTGTGTGGATTTGTGGCCTCGGGGACGCAAGTGGCGCAACTACGGCGTAGTTTACGATGGTTTATGGCCTCGGGGACGTGAATGTTGTATACTTTGCCAGGGTTTGGGGCCTCGTGGACGAAAGTATGGGGTAATTTATAAGGGTTTGTGGCCCTGGGGACGCGAATATTGCATAAGTGTTGAAAGTTTATGGCTTCGGGGGGTGCGAATTACTTTAATTTACGATAGTATATGGCTTCGGTGCGGGAAACATTATGTAATTTACGAGGGTGTATGGCTTCGGGGACGCGAAGATCGTGTAATTTAAGCAGGATTCTGTCTTCGGGGACGCGAACCTGGTATAATGTACGAGGGTTTATGGTCTCGGGACGCGAATATGGAGTAACTTGCTAGGGATTATGGTTTTAGGGAAGCGAATCTCATGTATTTGAACGTGTCCCACGACCCCCCGGGAATTCAGACAACGTGATTCGGGGACGCTAGCCAGGACGTTTTTCGGATCCCCCCCTCGCGCGTTCAGCAACAAGTAACAGTAAGGAAGCAGCAGGCAGAACTAAAATAGTGGAAACTGGACACTCAGGGAGTTGCAAGCCTAATCTTCGCAGCCTGATGGCCCCGCAAGGGCGTCGGCGAATTTCCAGACATTTGCTTGAGCATACTACATCAATTACCGCTCTGCCGCGAAGCAACTTACCCCCAGAAGGGTCACCCCCATTAGCAGGCGACTGAAAGGCGGGGCAGCTAGGGGATATGAAACCCTCCCCCGTTCGGGTCTAGATTGTGGGGACTTCTCAGCCGTTTTGTTCGTTCTGCCCTAAGACTCTTTCTCTCTATCGAGAGCCCCATGATCACCGCGATATAGCAGGCGTGGCATTCGGGTGCCCAAGGGGGGAGCTTCATTGGGGACCTCCTAGGGGTATGACGGTCTCCAGTCCGTGCCCAGCTGTTGGAGATGTTTCAGGCAGTTTGCTTGCTTTTTGCCCCCCAAGGAGCCGCATGACCACCGCGGCATAGCAGTGATGGTATCTGTGCACCCCAGGGGGGGGGCACCAGGGGGTGTGGTACTCTCCCGTTCGCGCCCAGACTGTGGAGATGTCTCAAGCGATTTTCGCGACTCTGTTTCCCTTACATCGCCTCTTTTGAGAGCTTCATGACCACCGCGAAATAGCAGGCGTAGCATTGCGGCACCCCAGAGGCGGCCGCCAAAGGGTGTGACGCTCTCCCGTTTGCGCCCTGTTCGTTGGGGTGTCTCAGGCGATGTGTGTGTGTGCTTGTGTGTAAGCGTGTGTGTGTGTGTATGTGTGAGTATGTGTGTGTGCGTGTGTATGCGTGTATGCGTGTGTGTGTGTGTGTGTGTGCGTGTGTGTGTGTGTGTGTATGTGTGAGTATGTGTGTGTGTGTGTGTGCGAGTGTATGTGTGTATGCGTGTGTGTGTGTATGTGTGCGTGTGTGTGTCTGTGTGTGTGCGAGTGTGTGCGTGTATGCGTGTGTGTGTGTGTGTATGTGCGTGTGTGTGTGTGTGCGAGTGTGTGCGAGTGTGTGCGAGTGTGTGCGAGTGTGTGCGAGTGTGTGTGTGTGTGTGTGCGAGTGTTTGTGTGTGTGCGTTTGAGCGTGTGTGCGTGTACGCGTGTACGCGTGTATGTGTGTGCGTGCGTGTGTGTGTGTGTGTGTGTGTGTTTTTGTGTGTCTGTTTGCGTTTGGCCCCAACGATGCTTTTCTCGAGAGCGCCATGTTCACGCGACATAGCAGGAATGGCGCTTGGGCCCCCTAGGGCGGAGTCGCAAAGAGGTTTGACACTTGTCCTTTCCCTGCAGACACTCGCAAACGGAGGCGCGAGGAACTGAGAGACACCGACGCATGCAGAATGCCGCGCCGAAAAACATGCATGGCCCCAGGGCCCATAACGTGTTTCCAGAGGCCAACATTTGGCACAAGGTGCGGGCATGTTCCTTTCGAGGCACCAGAAGTTCGTGTACAATCAAACAGGTACCTGTCCTTGGATCCATGCAGGGATCTGTGCGAATGAGATCTTCGAGCTGCGTCCAGCCTTCGTGACGAGATACCCTCCCCCGAAGGCAAAATCGATCATCAGCTGTCGGAGAAGAGGGGTTGTGTTGTTCGTCACGCCGCAGGTCCTGACATCCTCCTCCAGGGGCCCGCGGGTCCGGGGTTAGCGCGCGGGCTCCGCCCCAAAGGCGGCCGGGCGCAGCGCGCTGGTCGGCTCGGTGCTGATTCCCGCGGACGCGCCGAGGGAGTTGCAGCTGCTGGCGCTCCGCGCTGCGCCCCAGGCCTGGAGGGTGAGTTGTTTTGTTCAGCCCTGGGGCCTTCGCACCCTGCGTCTCTCCCAGTCGAGGTCCGAGGATGCCCATGGCCCAGGTTCTTGGGCGCTTTTGTATCGAGGTTCGAGGCTCCAGCCCAGGAGTCTTCCCTCCGCCCCCGTTCACTTGATCGAAGACTGAGGTTTCTGGACGGGGGTCGACATGTTTTTACTTGTCCAGTCTCTGCGGGGGCCTCTGGACGACTCGGGGGGACTTTGGAGAGCTGTAACCCGCTCGTGGATTCCCTGAGATTGCTGGTTTGCCTGCTTCTTCCTCCCCCTTCCCCCCTCCGTCATACATGCTCTCGAAGTCCCCCATCCCTCCTCCCTTCCCCGTCCGGCCCTCTTCCTTCTCTCTGTGCCCCCTGCGCGCCTCTGTTCCTCATCCCCGATCCCACCTTGCTCTTCCCTCCGCCTACCTCCCTGAGAATATTTGAAATCATGCTGGGGGAGCGTTTTTCCCCGCTTGCGTGCGTGTGTATGTGCTCGGGTGCAGTTTTTGCCACGTTTTCAAGTCGGACATCGGCCTGTGCCCCAGCTGCTTGTTCGTTTCAATGTTCAATGCGTTGGGCCATTAGTTGTTCCACATCACATTGACGTCCGCTCACCGTTCTCTTTCTGCCTTGGCCGAGTCAAGAGCGAAATGTGCGAAGGTGCCAAAAAGTCACGCGCCCATGCGATTTTCAGCCCTCCCATCTTCCTCGGGCCCCCTGCGCCCCTCTCTCGCTCGCTGCGTGTCGGCCCGCCGACGCCGCCATGAGGTGTGGGCGGTGGGCGGCGACCTGGCGCGGGAGTTACTGAGGCCGGCCTCGGAGGAGTGCCTTCGGGGGTCTGGCGCGCCGTCGTCATCTTCGCCGATGGAGGAGGGGGGTAGGGAGGGGGAGGAGGGCGGGGAAGGGGGGGAAGCCTGCTTCCTGAGCGCGCCCCCTCTTGAAGTCGCTTTTCCCTCGCCTTCCAGGGGGGGGGGGGAAGGAAGGGGAAGAGAACGTCAGGACGAGGAGGAGCAGGAGATGGAGGAGGGGGAGGGGGCAGGAAGGGTAAGATCGGGAGGAAAGGAAAGAGAAGGAGGAAGATCAGGAGGAGGAGGAGGAGGAGAAAGAGGAGGTGAGATAGGAGGACCGAATCCGAAGTATTGCACTGCAGGGTGCCCGAAGTTTTCTGCTTACGCATTTTGGCTCAAGCGTTCGCGTGCTTGGTGCGAAGGCCCGCCGTTGCTCCCGCGATGGCCGCCGCGCGTCGAGCGAGAGGGGCTTCCGCCCCCGCGCTGGCCGCTGCCCTGGTCGAGGCGGCGGTGCGCGGGGCGGTCTCCGCGAAGGCGCCGAGGAGGACGGTCGCGGCGGTGGCGCGCTCCGCGGTGTCGGCGGCTCTCTTCGAGCCGCTTGCGCCGCCCGCCGCCCGTGACCCTCCAGTCGGTGCACCGAGAGATCAAGATCTTCCTGCTGAAGGCCCTCCCGTGGCTGGTGCGGCGAAGCGGGCGCGGCGGCAGCGTCGCCGCCGTGCGCGTGCAGCGCGCAGGCAGCAAGATCGAGCCGATGGAGCTGGAGAGGCCGTTGGCGCTGGGGGCGCTCTGGAGCCCGCGGCGATGGCGGTTGACGACGACATCGACGACGAGTGGGCGGACGGCCTTCGCAGAGCAGGCGGTGGCCTGGCGGCGTCGGCGGTGGCTTCGCCTGCTCGTGTGGTAGAGGGTGCGGCTGCTGGAGCCGACGGGCGCGCTCTGGCGCAGCAGTCGGCGGAGGCGGGCGCCCCTCCCGTGGCAGTGGTGGCGGCGGCGGCGACGCTGGCTCCGGGTGCTGGAGGCTCGGCGGCCGCTGCCGTGGCGTGCGGCCCTCGGCCGGCTGCGGCCGGCGGTGCCGCGTCTGCTGGTACCCTCGTGTTCGACGCGGTGGGCGACGAGCGGAGGCGGGCCTTGCGGAGGCGGGCGGACGCGATCATCTACGGCCACGGTGGGGGAGGGTAGCGGCCTCCCCCTGTATATAAGTCCGCTCTAACTTCAGGCATCGTCGTGCTGGTCTTCGAGGTGTCTTGTAGCTATGCGGTGTCTCTGGCACCTCCCTCCGTTGCCAGTGATGATGCCTGCAAGACAGGCTTTTGGAGGCGTTGGCGTTGATGTCAAAAAGAATTACTGCTTACGCGCGGAATGAGGAGCGGCAGGAGCAGGATGATGGATGGAGGACGAAGGAAAGTGGACGGGGGGGGGGACAAAAATAATAAACAAAGGAAGCCGCATACTATCTTACAGTACGAATGAGACAAAGAAAAAAGAGTAGCGGCCTCGGGAGGCGACGTCACTCATGTGTGACGCATGGGAGATCACACCGTCGACCAGGAGGGCAGCATTTCCACTAGGACGCGCGGCCCCCGGTGGGCCCGTCCTTCAGGTGCCGTTCGAGACGTGGTTGCACATCCTCCCCGTCATAGTCCTGCCGACCAGACCGCCAGCTCATCTTCCATGGCTCCCGCTGGCATCTTCCCGCCTTCGCGAAGGCTCCGATCTGCTTTAGAGTCCGATGGGTGGTGTCCTTGGTCCGCCTGCTGCACCTACTGGAAGCAGTCGAGAAGTTGCGCCAAATACTTGGGAGGCCGGCGGTTAAGCTGAAGCAGAAGAACCACGGGTAAACTCATCAAGCGGAGCTCGATGCAACTACCCGGGCACCGCCCAAGCGCGAAACCTCTGAAATGGTACCAGTATATACAGACACATGTAAATCAAACGTGATGTCGAATTCTGTACGCTTCGCGTATCCCCACCAGCCCATCTCAAACCAGCAACTCTTGCGAAGCATGCCGACAGTCGTGTTTTTCAGGCGTGTGTCCGCTTGCCCCCGCATATCTCCTCTGTTCCTCCTTCCTCCCGCCTCCTTGTACATCCTCCTTGTGGTGGGAGCGGGAGAAGGACGAGGCGGAGGAGGAGGGAGAGAAAGCGGTGGGAGGCAAGAGGGATTTAGCGGAGACGACGACCACAGCGATGATCCTAACAACGACGACGCACCCGACGACGACGACGATATCGACCGCAACGACGACGACGACCACAACCGCGACGACGACGACGACGACGACGACGTCGACGACGACGACGACGAAGGCGGCGGCGACGACGACGACGACGACGACGACTGGTGGGAGTCGTTGGGGCCCCTCGTGGTGTGAGTCGTTCGGCCCCATCGTCCTTGTGTGAGTCCTTCGGGCCCCTTCGTCCTGGTGTGAGTCGTTCGGGCTCCTCGTGGTGTGAGTCGTTCGGGGCCCTCGTCCTGGTGTGAGCCGTTCGGGCTTCTCGTGGTTCGAGTCGTTCGGGCCTTTCGTCCTGGTGTGAGTCGTTCGGGCCCTTTTTCCTGGTGTGAGTCGTTCGTGCTCTTCGTGGTGTGAGTCGTTCGGGCTCTTCGTCCTGGTGTGAGTCGTTCGGGCTTCTCGTGGTGTGAGTTGTTCGGGCCCCTCGTCCTGGTGTGAGTCGTTCGGGCCCCTCCTCCTGGTGTGAGTCGTTCGGGCTCCTCGTGGTGTGAGTCGTTCGGGGCCCTCGTCCTGGTGTGAGTCGTTCGGGCTCCTCGTGGTGTGAGTCGTTCGGGCGCCTCGTCCTGGTGTGGGTCGTTCGGGCTCCTCCTCCTGGTGTGGGTCGTTCGGGTTCTTCGTGGTGTGAGTCGTTCGGGCCCCTCGTCCCAGTAATAGTAGTAGAGCTAGAACTAGTAGTAGTAGTAGTAGTAGTAGTAGTAGTAGTAGTAGTAGTAGTAGTAGCAGTAGTTGTAGTAGTAGTAATAGTAGTAGATGTAGTAGTAGTAGTAGTAGTAGTAGTAGTAGTAGTAGTAGTAGTAGTAGTAGTAGTAGTAGTAGTAGTAGTAGTAGTAGTAGTAGTAGTAGTCGTAGTAGTAGTAGTAGTAGTAGTAGTAGTAGTAGTAGTAGTAGTAGTAGTAGTAGTAGTAGTAGTAGTAGTAGTAGTAGTAGTAGTAGTAGTAGTAGTAGTAGTAGTAGTAGTAGTAGTAGTAGTAGTAGTAGTAGTAGTAGTAGTAGTAGTAGTAGTAGTAGTAGTAGTAGTAGTAGTAGTAGTAGTAGTAGTAGTAGTAGTAGTAGTAGTAGTAGTAGTAGTAGTAGTAGTAGTAGTAGTAGTAGTAGTAGTAGTAGTAGTAGTAGTAGTAGTAGTAGTAGTAGTAGTAGTAGTAGTAGTAGTAGTAGTAGTAGTAGTAGTAGTAGTAGTAGTAGTAGTAGTAGTAGTAGTAGTAGTAGTAGTAGTAGTAGTAGTAGTAGTAGTAGTAGTAGTAGTAGTAGTCGTAGTCGTAGTCGTAGTCGTTGAAGTAGTAGTAGATGTCATTGGGGAGCCTCTTGGAGGCCTTTTGGGACGTCTTCGGGGCCTCTTGGCGGCCGCAGGGGCTTCTAGGAGCGTCTTGGGTGCCTCGGGGGAGCCTCTTCGGGCCTCTTGGGAGCCTCGTGGAGGCCGTTTGGAGGGTCTTGGGGGCCTCTTGGCGGCTCCAGGGGCTTCCAGGAGCGTCTTGGGTGCCTCGGGGGAGCCTCTCGGGGCCTCTTGGGGGCCTCTTGGGGGCATCTTGGGGGCCTCTTGGGGGCATCTTGGGGGCCTCTTGGTGCTCTTTGGGAGGGGTCTGGGAGGAATCTTGGGGTCATCTGTCGGGCGATCGATCACAGATGGGGCGAGCATTTTTCTCCCCCCCCCGTCGGGGCCAGAATCCTCGTGAGGGGTGTCGAGTTTTAGCCCTCCCAGGGGTCGAAAAAGACCCCTCCAACCACCCGCGAAACGCCCTCTCCAGGCCCAGGGGGAGGGGGTAGGGGGAGGGGTAAACCCCTCCCCGAAGGGGAAGAAGGGGGGTTGAGAACAGAGAGAGCTCGCTAAACCACTCACGCCCAAAGGGCTGGTGGGATTTCGCCTACCTCCAGGAGGGACTGGGGACTTGGACAGTGCCGATGGGCGATGCTCGGTGAAAGGCGAGGTAGGTGGCGTGCAAGAAACTTTGCTGGTCGACGTACAAGGTAAGAGTCAAGCGTTCCATGGTAGGGCGCACGGGTGTGAGGTGATCAGCGCGAGCCTAAGTGACCCAGGACAACAGCGACATTCACAGAAGCCATCGGGGTCGGATCCGCAACAAAGCCGCAGCTGGATTGGGTCGATCCAGTTCGAGGCTTTACGAGTTGTCATGTTGTTGATCATTATGTAGCAGATGGCGCAAGACACGTGGTGGCTATGGCAAGGCAACCTTCACCAGCAAGTCGGCATGTGAACCCTTTCGGGAGAACAGCGGTGGACGACAATTTCTTTTAGCCACGCGCGGTGAGGGAGCTGTCGCAATGGAGGGTATTCGAAATATTCAGCTCCCTACTATTGCAGCTCTTCGGGCGCCTGATGAGGCCGCTCGTGGGGCCAACCGTAGCCGTGCCGCGTGCGGCGGGGCAACCTGCCGCTGAACCAGTGAAAAGACCCCAAGTTAGCGTGCCGGCTTCTATGCCGCCGCCGCCGCAATCCGAGTGGAGACCTAGCCTCCAACAGCTCGACGCACCAGCTATTCCAAATCACACAGGGCGGGGTGCTAGGGGGATGCGGGACCCAGGGGCTCAGTCCCCAGAAGCCCGGTGGAACCTACCAGAGGGACCACCGCCGCCCGGAATCGATCGACCAGGGACAGGCGGGGATTCGCCCCGTCACCGTCGGTTCAAAGGCATAGGAATTTGAAATATAACCAAGCAGAATATCTTATCGGGCCTCTCCGTCGGTTCCCTCCATTCGAACGTGGTAGCGGGGCGCTCGCGAAACTGTTTTTTGGCTCTTCGTCGCGCGTGCCCGACGCGGCATTCCGATGGCCCTGGGAGGTCGAGTGCGACGACGCATCATGTGAGGAGGTCTCCGAAAAAGGTGATTTCGTTGCGACGGATGCGCGCGCGTTCTCAGCCCTCGCCGCCGCCTTGAAATGCGATGGCTTCAAAAGAAAGGCCTGCGTCAGCACGGGGGGCGCCGGCGCCAGCAACTGCAAATAGGCGGCCGGTTTTCTCGACGATCATGGACGCGCGCTGGCCGGCCGAGGCCGCTCGTTGCATCTGCGACTTCTCGCGCCTGAAATCATGTCAAGATGCATGGTGTGGATCGTTGTGAGTTCTTTGCGACCGGGGGCGCGCGAAGCTCAGCACGGCCCCGGCCCCCGCCGGCAACATTCTGGGAGCCCATCTCAGAGCGCAAGTTGAATTCCATTGAGATAGCCGCGGAGAACGTCGCGGGTAAACGCGACCGAGTGGAGCGGGATGGTTTTAGCAAGGGCCACCGTTGGCTTTACGATGTGTGCGGGAAGCTCATGGAACGACGGGGGCTCTCAATTTGCGCGGGAGAAATGGTCAACCATCGCAACTCGTGCACGAGCTTAAAGGTATCCAGCAGAGGTCACGTTGATATTGAATATCCAGGGGCAGCTGCTTTGCCTGCGGCGGGCGCCCGCTATCCGCCGCGCGTGAGAGGCGGCGCGAACGCGCTCGCGGCCGCGCGGCCTGGCGCGGGGAAACCGAATAATTTCTGCATGGCCGACGCGTTGGCCTGACCGCGCAGTAAGTCTGACTGCCCAATGCCCTCTCGAAAAACAGCTTTGCGCAATCTGCCAGGGGGGCAGCTGCAATCGAGGCGATAAGAGCAGTTCTGCCCGCGCGAACAGGCCGGGCGCGCCAGCCGCGAAGTCGAGTTCCCAGGTGGGGCCCCAGCATTCGCGGGGGCGTTCAGAGAGCCGCGACAGCACAGAATGACGCCTCGCCCCTCCTCTCGCGCGCCGAGCCAGACCGGCGCGGAAGAACGCCGCCCTCGAACAGTTGCAGGGCCCCCATCGCCGCCTTGCGCCCCCCGCCGAGGCGCGAGTCACTGGGCGGGCGCGGGCGCGGCCCGACGAGTCGCAGGCGAAGCCGTAGGTCTGGGCGGCGGGGGCTCTCGCGTCCCACGGCAGCGCAGTTCGCCTCCACCAGAGCAGCATTTCCTCTGCCACCCCCGCGTGGCGGGGGGGGCAGTCCTCCGGCCCCGGGGCCAGCGCCGCGGAAGACCTGGCGCGAGGGCGGCCCTTCTGGGACTAACCAGAAGGCCCCAGTGGCCCGTTCAGTCGACGCGGCCACCGCGACGCCCGAAGGGCTGAACGGCTTGTAAACGTTGGTTCG